CATTCTCTATTGAATTGTCTATACATCGTCCCTATTTTCACGAAGTGACGGTAGTGAGGAAAATCGTAACGCAAAGTGAATGCAATTTTTTTTCACTACCGTCACTTCGTGAAAACAGCGACGACATGTATTGTATTGCATATATACCTTAAAACATCAGCCCCTCAAGGTATACTCTCTCTCTCTCTCCCTCTTGTCCACATCTCTCCCTCTCTCTACGCCACCCCTTCCTGTCCCCCATCTCCCCCTCTCTCTCACACTCTCTCTGACTCTATCTCCCCCTCTCTCACTCTCTATCTCTCTCTCTCTGACTCTATCTCTGTCTCTCTCTCTCTATCTCTGTCTGTGTCTCTCTGTGTATCTGTCCCTCTGTCTCTGCCTCTCTCTGTTTCTATTTGTGGTTATTAGTGCCCCAAGCATAAAGAGCTGAAAACACATGATGCTAAATTTGTCACTTTTTGTGTTGTTTTTCTGATCTTCTGACAAGATAACTAACCTGACATTTACATACATCCTCATAGTACTTTAAAGTAAAAGGTAAGAAAGGCATGGTTGGTTATTAAAACCAGAAATCTTCATCCTCAAGGCTCTGGTATTATACATAAAGTGATCCCTTAACATAGGGCTGAAATAGAGTAGCTCATTCTAAAAATATCATGAAATCCAGGTTCATTAGAATGATCTTTGAAGGAACTACATCAAGCTCTGACATATTTACATGTAACCTACATTCTCATTACCGAAGACTATATTTTCGAAGCGATTTAGACCTACAGGATGAGGCTAAATATAGCAGTTTCTCCGGTAGAAAACATTCTATTTTAAGCAACATCTTTCTGTAACTGTCCATAATTAGGAGATTGCTTTAAGATGTTTCAAAGATTTCTTTTGAAGAACAGAGGAGTTTATAAAGTAGTTGCAATACATACACACAAGTGACAAAACCCCAAAGCTTTTTTTTTTGTGAATTGAGGATTAGATGACAATATTGACACTCATGCTATATTTTTTTTTTACAAAACATCTGTTTGGAGCCAGAAGGGCATTAACTCTGTTTTAAATGATATGACTTTATGCCCTCCTGGATCAAAAAAGATGATTTAATATCTTAGACCTATATCCAACTTTGCTTTTTGAGTAAATTGATGTTCCGTAACAAAGCTTAATACACAAAATCACATCATACCAACAATGCTACAACAAGCAATTTATAAACAATCCATGTCACACATCCCGCCACCATATTATTAAATACTTTTATTTCATTTCTTAGTTCTGTACACAACCCTATATTTGCTGGTTTTCCATTCATACCTGCATCTTTGTTTGTCTGATTCTTTTTTCATCATTTGCTTCTTTTGAATCAAACTCATGACATTATATAAAACAAGATTAAAATGTGCAATATTGAGAATCCTTCTAAATGCCAATACCATCATGCAGCGTTTGCAAAGTGCTCTGCATTTATCAAACAGTTCCACTAACCATAATACATGGGTGAGTAAATGAGTGATGGAGTGAAAGAGCTGGAGAAGAAAAATGCAATGAAAGTCTAACACATTATGCCTTTTCATCTGGTCATAAACAACAATTATTAAGAGAGCGTTTGTGACTCCTGGCAGAATAGACAAAGCTGGAAGAAAGAGTGTTTATCCCCTGGCATTCATCAAGACGTAAAAAGATTACACAATCGTGAACGAAAGCTTTTACTTTAGCAAGGCCCCTTGCTTACTTATGTATGCGGAGCCGAGATCTGCATTGCCTACGTGACTAGCGAATTGTTATGCTTCAGGGCATGCAACAAGTATTCTGTGTGAATCAGCCTCAGAGATAAGAAATATTGAGAGAGAAATAGAGAGAGAGAGAGAGAGAGAGAGAGAGAGAGAGAGAGAGAGGGAGAGGGAGAGATAAAAGAGATATGTTTGAGAGAAATGAAGGAAGAGAATTGAGATGGAGAGAAACAGTAAAATGAAAATATGAAGAGAAAGATAGAGAGTGGAAGAGAAAGAATGAAAGACAGTGAAAGACATAGAGACACAATTATTGAGAAATAGCACAAGTAAATGAGAGTGCATGAGAGAAAAGAAACAAGTTTGATCAAGACACAGAGAAAGAGAGACAGAGACAGAGAAAGAGGGAGAGAGAGAGAGAGAGAGAACCAGAGGAACAGAGATAGAGACAGACAAAAGGGAAAGAGAGAGATATATATATATAGAGAGAGAGATAGACACAGAGATAGAAAGAGAGAGGGAGAGAGGGAGAGTGGGTGTCAACAACTGAAAATATAGAGACAGAGAGGGCAGGGAGGGCAGAGAAAAAAGACTGGGGTAGGGAGAGAGACAGAGCTATAGGGGAAATTCTGAAGAAGAAAAAAGAATTATCGTGAGCTGTGCAGTAGAGAGTTAGATAATGGATCGTCTTACCGTAGTCATTCATCATGGACATGCCTGAAAAAATACAAAATTTGGTTAGTATTCCTTGGTTAAGAACACAAGGCATTAGCAGCACGTCATCGACTCATGCGCAATCAACCAACAACTCATACATGTATCATCATCCATATATCATTAACCAGAGGTACATTTCATTGGCAGCTGTTATAAACATTGCACATTACTTGCACTGAAACAGAATTGTCCTTTAAAACCTCTGCCTCTCTGAAGGCAAAACATGTTTCATAGTGCTGCCAATTAAGTCCTCTTAGAGATTTGTTTACAGTGTTATCTCCACTACAAGACAAACAAATCAATCCTAACAGTTTCTTTTGTTAACTACTTGGTTGATTAGCACTTGTATATTATCTACTTAGAGCCAGAAGGATGTTAACTATATGTTAGGGTATCTGAGCTAACACCCTTCTGTTTCCAAACAGATGATATGCTGTATATATATGTGCACAGAGGAATATTTTTCTTTATATTACGTTGATAATCACTACATACAGAAACATCGGTATTTATAATGAAGCTTGATGTTTAAGGCAGCAAACATTTGAAATAACGACTGTCATATTAAACATTATTAAGAAATATCTTGACAATATTGAAACTAAGAGTAAAAATAACTCTTATGCCTCCCCCTTTCACTGATATAAGAACAAAACAATAGCGTAGTCATTCATTTAAAGACTTTGTAGTGTGGTTGGAGATAAAAACTGAAACTGTGACATTACTTACAGGTCTAATTCATTCAAGGCAAGTTATTTGGGTAATATGACTGCAGACAGAAATTACTTTGATCAAAGGAGATCAGCAATTGAAATATAAGATAACATACTTTTTTTTTGGGGGGGGGGGTCATAATTCACAATTCACTCCCACAGTTTGATGTTTGTTCAAATTTATCTACACAAATCCACTTCTAAAAAAAAAATTCTTTTACTAAAATAATTCACTCTGTGGTTTGCTACTACACAAAAAGTGCCAAGTCAATACCTGTTAATAATAAAACATATCTGGATGGAATAAAAGGTGATAGCATTCAATTTTTGTTAATATTAGTTCAGGAAGAAAACAATAATAACATAAGGTTACAAGCACCCTTATAACACAGTGAGATGGGTGAAAATGTGAAAAGTTGTGGGTTCATAGTTGCTAATGAAATTGGATAAAATGATGTTCACTTCTAATCTCATGAAAACTGCAACAAACAAAAAAAACGCAGAACTGCAAGAAACAACAGCAGAACAGCAAACCAAGTCAATTGCCAAATTAAACAGATAATATATACAATTCATGAAAGACTTTTTACAGAAAATTTCAAATGGCTGGAAATATAAACAAATAAAGATATTTAGAATCATCAAGTGAAGTATAAATATTAGGATCTTATTGCTATCCCCTGCATGGGACTGTTATAAAGTATAACTGAGGCGAAACCATACTATCATACATCAAATTACTGAAATTGGAAACCATTTTCTCATTAGGCACGCAAAATGCCATGCAAATGAAATGAATCATTTTGAAATTGAAGCTAAATCTGGAGAGCTTTCTATGGATTGACATTGTTTGTCTGTCACAATCAATCCACAAAAACAATTCTAATAGAGCATCCTTGTAAATCAAAAGGATGAAATGTCAGAGGATGATGAGGCGGTTAGTTGCAGTGGTTTGGTATTTAGCGTTTAACCACTATGTATTCAGGTTTGAGTCTGATAAGAGAAGTATCCCACTCCTGACATCATTTAAAGTCAAGCTTCCACATTAAGTGGATAGGATCAGGATTTGAAGGATGATGCCTGTCCCCTCCGGTGCTGATTGTGCACCTTTTTTTGTGCTTATGATAATGAACGCACAATGTACGCATCTAGATCAGGACAGAAAATAAACAGTCACAGATGCAATGGTCAAGTGGAGACCTGGATTTGAAATGCGTAAAACCAAATGGTGACCTCCTTTCTAATTTCTTCTGAATGGCTCTCAAAAAAAATTGATATCCCAAGGGACAAACCTGTGACTTCAATTTTAATGGTTATTTCCCCACTTCTTAGAGAGACCTTACACATATATGAATCAATAAACTACGAATTCTATTCTCATGTTTTAATTTCAAATCCCTTAATAATCAAATCAAATAGGAGAGCATTCCAATTTAATCACTCAATAATAAAGTCCAACATTTCCTTCTTTCTGAAAAATCACACAATTCATGAAAACTGAAAGTTTTTTTAGGAATATGAGAACAATATCTTCAAGTACAGCCATTTTATAAGTACAAGTTTTTTCTATCCTTAGTCAAAGTCGATTTGTAAATGATTATATTGACAGGATAGTTTGGGGTGTTCTAATTCAGCTCTCAATCCCTTCTGATTATCTCCATGTAATTGGGTCAACCAATAAACAACGCCTACTAATGAGCTTACAATACAGGGTACTGACTATCAACAAGTCCAGGGAAGGTTGACCGTCATGGCCTATGGACAAAATGTATAGTTGATTTGATTAGTATTGCTTTGATTTGAATTGATTTAAATTTGATTTGAATGAGGATATACATACCTCTTGGTGGTAATGTTGAAGCAAGATCTTTGGCCCTAGCCCTAGCCTTGATAGACTCCTCCCGAGCTTCCGATGCTTCTACATCAGACATCTCAGCCTTCTCCTTGGCATATGCAGCCCTATGACCAGAGAAAACAAACATACAAGACCATGAAGCATATACCAGTCAAAAACAGAAAATCAATAAGGTAATAAAACCTCAAACTGTTCAATTTTCATTTTTACATAATCGGTGCATCAATGGCCTTCCTTATGCAGATTGCAAGTTGCATTATTTTTCAGATATGCAATTATATGAGTTTTAATATCAGAATACCACCTGAGTCTTTAGCTATGGGGGAAGAAGTCACCAGAATATTCAGTTAGAGGGTTTTATCACTCTCATCACCAAAAAACACACTACTATACAGACAAGGTTCTAGATGTAAGGAAAGGCTATCATTAATGCTTAGACAGCAGAAGATTTATATTTAATATAATGAATAATTAATTCTTTGCTTTTCAATATAAAAATAATAATGGTGAGTTCTTGTATAGTGCCTGTTAGACTTGACACTTCTGACACTCCATAATTATACATGTTTTCAGCCCAATGAATGAATAACCTGTTTAAATAATCTTGAAGAGTATCCCATTCAGAGTATAAAATGAATTTTGAAAGCTTTTACGCCTGTTAGTTAAAATTGAAATTTGTATTTCTTATTATCATTCTTTCTTTGTCAAACATGAAACCTTGAATATTTCAGTGCTTCTTTTTTCTTGGCTTTGAAAACTGTTGGTGAATTGAAAAGGCACTTTGGCATCTCTTTATTTAAACAAATAAATGCTCACAAACCAAAAAGGGAAACAATAAAAATATGCTGTCCAGACATAACATTTTGTGTGATACATGTTTGTAAAGTTAGATGTACTGAAAACTTTCTTGGCTAAAATGGCTCCTATAAAACATGGAATATAAAGGTGGTGTGCCCTTTAAAAGGTTTCATGACACCCAGTCCGTGGGAAGTTACTATGAAAGGTCAAACTTTAGAATGATGACCTTTCATCAGGTAACCAGTCGATTTCACCCAAAACAACTCAACAGAACTGCAATCTTTGCCATTGACTGCGAAGTAAGACAGAGTCATAATTTCACTATAATGAAATCTGATCAATTCTTACATTCTGCATCAACAGCAATAAAAATGGAAACTATGAGGCTTGACTATACCACAGTAGAAAGAATTAAAACATTCAACAATTCCAATTGCTGCATAACTTACAATATATATATATATATGTTTAAGTGGCAATAGTGACCAAAGCTGAATGCAAAATTCAAACGAACAAATATTCTCACCATAGCAGCAAATATGTATAAAGGCCTTCATAGGCTATTCAAACATTCAATATTTACCACATGAAAGCAATAAAGGAATCCTGAAAATAACACGAACATATGAAATAATAATAAGAGGCTGAATTTTCTTAGAAACCATGCTGTCCTCCGAGTCTCATTGTCGTTGCATATAAAGGAGCATCAATATGCCATATTTTACTTTGACCCTGATACAAAACACCACTGGGAGTGCATGGAGATGGGCATCAGATCCAGACTGACCTTAAAGGGCAATTGACAATATGTTCACTAATATATATTTTATGTTCGTTGAATTGAGAATTCATCTAATGGTCATGCCTGAAAAGGTAGATTCAAAGGCTACAACATACAAATGAATTAATATTTCATGTGTTTAAACACAGCCTTGCAATATTCTCTCACTTGCATCCTGTTGAGAACCTGTTGATTCGTTTAATCTTTAATGAGAATATGTGTACATATAAATATATATATATATATATATATATATATATATATATATATATATATATATAAAATCTATAGTGGTGATACATACAGTATGGTAACTTAAATATGTATGCACAATTACATGTTGGGGTGGAGCAAAAGCTGAACTATGCTAGTGTTACAAAATCATATATATCTTCACACACTGGCCAATGACACACAGGCTCTTTCATGCAAGAAAATATAATTTGGTCCCTATGAATATACAACCTCAACTCAAAGTCATATATCACATTTCAGTCATATTTTAAATCTGAAGGGATGTTACCTGATATCTTTAAGAGCTCCATAGGAAAGAGATTCTAGAGTATATACTGTAATCTTCATAAAGCATTGCCCCTGGGAAGGTTTTCCCAGGGTTTTTTCAGAAGAAATCCATTTCCATTCTGGATTCCTAGATATATACATTCCAAGGTCTGTTCCCTCGTATTAAAGCTTTCTCATCTTCCTTCCTTTGCCTAGAATAATACAACCTCATCTCAACACTGAGCAAAGCCACAACACAACGAGATTCTTTCATCTTGCTTGAATGCCAAATATACTTACTTCTGACACCATCCATAGAAATGAAAAGATCTTTGAGTAATGCATTCACAATTCACTCTTTGTATTTTAAGAGATGGAGAATCCATACATGATTTTTATTCTTCAAATTGAGAAGAAGAGACATGAAAGGCACTGTATCATTCTAATCGATTAGCTGAACTTCTTACAAAACCAAAGAACTTTTCAGCTCAACCTTCCACAAAAATTATAATTTGATATATGAACTCAATCATTGCACTGCCTAATACTCATAGAGAAACAAAATTCTGATTTTGAAATTCAAACTTGAGCCACATGTATGATTCATTAATTAATATCTGTATCAGAATGCCAACCCCTGGACAATCATCCCTAGATATCTACCCTCATAGGAAAACCATAGGCTTGAATTGATTGCCTTGTGTTATTACAACTACCCATAGGATAGTCATTTTCCTAGGGGTAATTTTCTTCTTTTGTTTGGCTGGGGGAAAATATCAATGCGGTTACTTTCTTTTCCTTACAGGTGATTGTCTAGCTAGGCATGACAGTTCCGGTGTTAGTTTCCTAGAATCTAAAATCTGATAAAGGTTCAACTGAATAATAGGTTCACATCTTACCTAGATATTGCCAGGTCAGCCTTAGCTCTGGCAAGGTTAGCAGCCTGTCCGGCTAACTCCACAGCATGCTCTACCCGCTCACTTATCTTTTTTGATCCAATAACAAAGAGTTTCTTTTTTCCTGATGCAACTAACAAATTCTGTTTCCATTTTCCTTCCTCCTTCTGGCCATTGGGGTATATCAATGAGCCGTAGCCGTGTCTCTTATTGTTGTGCCACTCTCCTGCGTAATGATAGCCATCGGATCTTTGACTTGTACCATAGCCAGCCCTCTTGTCTTGCTTCCACTCCCCCATGTACACCTCCGTCACATCGTGTGAAGCCTCCTCTTCATGCATGTGACCCATGTCACTCTCAAAACACGATGATTGCACAGAACTGGTGCTCATAGTACTTTCATTACTCTTTAGTGAGTCTTGGTGTTTAAGGTTGTGTCTTAGAGAAGCCACACTGCCCCCACTTTCTACCAAAGAATCCCTGTTTTTGTTTTTGTCTTTCCTACGCTTGCTCCTAAACCCACCCATGAGTGTCCTACTCCTGCGTGAGGTCTCGTTCCGCCTCAGTGTGGCACTTTTGTTGCTTTCCAAATCCGAGGTGCAGTCGTCGGAAACGTCCATTGCGAACCCTCCCCGCTGCCCAAAGTTTTCTGGCGAGCTCGCGATGGAACCGTTTTCGTGCTCGCTCCGTAACGACGTGAGGGATGTTCGCAATGATGGTCTAACGATGGAAGCCATGCCATACGGAACGCTGTTTCTGATTCCGTAGCCATGCCGCATGCCACCTGTCCACTGTCCTTGGTATATACCTGCAATACAAAATCAAAGGAATTCTTTATCAGACCATTCAGTGTAAAAGCAAAAAATACATGTACATACCTACATGACCCTTCATGGTATTAAACTATACACTCTAAGCCAATATCATGACCTCTTTTAGTATATAAATGTACCGGTACTAGTACAAGAGCAGGGGAAACCCCAGTGTAGTGGGCCACCTGCAAATCTCAAGCACTTTTATATCTAGAGGAGATACACAAGAGCTACAGTAGTTTAGGTTGTTTTTAAACTTCTAGGCACAGGCGATGGTTTATACTTTGATATTAATAACGATGATAATAGTAATAAAATCAACAATAACAATAATCGTAATAATAATAATAATAATGATAACGATGATAAGGAGAAGAAGAAAAATTAAAATAATAACAATGTTTAATAATTTCATGTTTGGATCATGTAGTTGATCATTGTCATTTTGGAGCATATCAGAAGATAATATACTAGGCTACTGGTATTATTCTTGTGTTGATGTTATGAAAGATTTTATGATTTTGTTACAAGCTCTACAAACAAGAATATTATCAGTGAGGGCAATTTCTAAAGATTACCTTAGATAGCTTAGTGAAACGTTGTTGCTCAAAAAGACACGTCTAGAATGCAAAAGGCATAATAGTTAATGATGTTTGTTGATAAGAAGTTCTTTTTTTACATATCTTAATGTCAGGTTAGGTAACATTAAGCCTAGTCAAGATAGTACATGTTTTTACCACCTCCCTACCTTGAAAATGTGGTTCTACCCGTGTGTGATATAATAACAATTTTCAACGATTATTCATTCGGCTCTCTAGCTGGAAATGTCTTTCGTGCCCCTACATTTTTGCTGAGCTAGCTACCTTACAGTGCAGACAATGGATTACAATTTGAATCCCAATATACCCTGCTATGCCTTAAAATCAGAATACAGTGTCATATTCATCTACATGTGAATTAAATATTTCTGAAATCAAATATGCGTTATCTTTCCTATTTATCCAGCCATTGATCTCAAATCCATGTTTTGTAATGTATATAGATAAAGGGGAATAGGGTAAGATTTCCTTAAGAAAATATAGAATATGTAGCTAAAAATCAGAAGAGATTGAATTCTGCCACATTTCCTTTCTTTCTACAGGTTATGTTGTGTGTGCATATATACAACACACTCTTTTCAATATCTAATGAGTTCCATATGTCACTTTTCTGTGGGAGGAAGCCCATGCAGGAAGATAAGATTTCTAAGATAATCTATACCACGCGAGGTTAATTCCATGCAGAGATAGCTAGTCACGTCTCATATCGGAACTTTTATTAGTCCCTGAACAGTCTTCAAGAAGGACACACTACTACAACAACATGTTCACAATGGTTTTATCATTGCATATGGTGAATAATATCACTACATACAAATCTCATGACAAATGCAATGCACGTCTATACTATTAATTCTTAATTTCATCCAATGGTTTAGTCCTTATCCTCTACTGAATTTACACTGTGAATAGAAGGCCAGAATTTTGTTTTACAACCCCATAGAAATATATGCGACTTGATTATTAAGTCGTCTCCAACTTCTTAAATAATAGCATCAGGACTAAGTTTTTAGTGCTTGTAAGTTTTATATCTTTATGGCAGTTGCATAATTGATTTGCTTGACAGAGGTCCCCGGGAAGAATGTGCAATACTTGATATATTGTCATATAAACATTAACTATTAAATAATAAATTGAAATATAATAGGTCATAATTTGAAGATGCATCTATCTAAAAAAATAGATGATAGTATCATATCCTCATTATAGGACAGTGGTATAGTATAACATGCTCTCAGATAAAGACCCATGTTTACAATCAGCTAACAAGCATGACCATGCGGACCTACATGCTAATTATATCACACTCCCAGAAACCTAATATAATAAAAGCTCTACAAATAAAAAACTAAAACCCTAATCAGAAGAACAGAGGAAGGATGCATGAGCGGATCCTTTGCGAGACATGCTTTCAAACGAGAGCAGCCGCCCTTAAAAGCAGCAAGCCCCTGAGGCTGTCTGACGTCCTATAACTCCTTGCCTTCTCACACCCTAAGGTAATTCTTGTCATTACCCAGCTCATTTAATCCAATTCCTAGGGTCTGTGGTTGCTTGATGCCACCTGAGCACCTGTTATGAGACCCAATGAGCATCACCATGTGGATGCCTCACATATCACAACACCTATAGTCATATTACACGCACAGCAATGGGCTGTTTGCAATCTATGGCTGTGCGTCGGTATCAACTCATTCGGCACAAAGCGTGTTCTCCTAATGAACGTAATTCATCAAATTAATCAGCCAACGATGACCCATTATGGCTCTCGGAGGATTCTATTGTACGCTATCTCATATGGGAATTGTCTGAGTTTTTTTTATCCTGCAAATTATTCCAATCTCTCTTTCATCCATCTAAAGCCTGCATACAGAATTCCCCTCATTACTGCAATGATCTAGAATTAATGCAAAATATACGATAATGAGTGAGGCGTTAATAAATTGAGGCCCTCCTGATACTTCACACGATGAGAATTAAATAAAGCAAATTGCACAGTGGGTGTTAGATGGTGAAAAGTCTAGTAGTTGATGAAAAAATGTAGAGAGAAATTCCCAACACGTAATCCATCACTCTTTCAAGAAACTTCTCTCAAACATTTTCATAGTCTTATATACTATGGTTGAATTGTGGATATCTTAAAATGTTGGAGAAGCATATTTGAGTGTTTATCTGATTATCTTTTAATTTATTAAAGGATAAATTCTGTGGTTGTAGTTGTTGTTGTTGTTGTGGTGGTGGTAGTAGATGTGGTGGTGGTGGTGGTGGTGGTGGTGGGAATGTTTACCATTGATATTCCAAATGCATGAGTCATGCAGAATCTATATGCTATGTTAGTTACCGTAATGATCTAAATGTCTCATTTTGGAAGGACTCTTCATTCTGTATCAATAATTTCATCAATAATATCACAACCTAGAATTTTGACAAATTTTCAATTTCAAATGTTAAAAGCATCAATGTATTAAATGGAAAGTGACAAGGACTATTGTTGGCTATCTAAGGCATTTATGCACTTTGGAACATTGAGATCATCAACTACATGGCTATCTTAAATTGGCAACTCAAGCATTTAGAATTGATTCAAAGGAATGCTCTATTAATTTTTAGCATTAATTTGTGAGAATATCCCTGTGTCTTCTATAAAACGTTTCTCTTAATGACACTTTCATGAACAAAATGAGGTTATTCACGATGTCACATGTGCCAAGAACATTCTGCTATCATAAATACTTTAAATGACAGAAGAGATATTGAATTCACATTGTTTTATATCTTGAACATCAACAAAAATCATATTTTCGGTTTTATGTGTGTCCCTCTTGGGGATGCATAACTAATTTTTGAGATGATGTATCTTATGAAAAGATTTAATAAAAGCTACAAAATTAATGTACCTTTTAGCATTTGTTTCTATTTCATCTATTTTTCAGAATTGTTCTGCTTTTTAAAGCAACTTGCCTTCAAGATAAGATTTTGTTTTAAAGAAACGTACTGGAGATATTAAAAGCCTTTTTTCTGGATGTCATTTTCCATCCCCATCCCTTTAACTCAATATATAACAGAAAATATATCTGACAATTTCATGTGATGAGAAAGGCTTCAACCTCTTCCCTAAGTTCTATGATAATTTGGTTCAAGGAGATGATATGATTAGATTTATCTGTGTTGTTATTTTAATGGATGGGTATGTATATAGGTAAGGTCTAATGTACCACATCGTGATGAATAGCTCATCACATTAGGAGATAGCAATACAAACCTCAAGGGAATTCCACTGAGGCTGATTATGTTATTTTACAAACCCAATCCACCAATGGAGTTTGCATTAATTACATACTGTGTAATTCAAGCTGACTTTCTTTTTAATTTTTTAATTTTCAATCTAAAAGGGGGAACAGAGAATAGAAGCATATTGCAACACACTTATGTATTTACTTTCAATGACATTGGTAAAACTATATCATTTTCTACGACAGCACTGAACGACATACTAATGCTAATGTCAATTTTAATGACTCATGTTAACTGTAAAATAAAATGATACAATGAAAACATAGAAATGGATTCCTTCTTACAAGGCAGAATTAATAATATTGAGCTGAATCAATAATATCAACAACCTGGCAGTATCTATCCAAATGAAATAAAGACAATAACTGAGCAAATCTAGCACAGAACGGAGCTTTTAATACTGTCTTGTCAAACATTGACCCATCACTAATTTACCTCACGGTGTTAACACTTTACATGTACCAATATACATGAAAGAAATGTACAAGAATGGTGTGAACTGTGTGTTACAATTTGATTTTGAAAGGTTTAGTGAGTTTAATATTTCTCCATCTGGACAACAAGAAGGAAATATATCTGCATCCATCAGACATCTCAACTATAGAATACTGATTAAGATCTGTTTAGTCCTCCTGAAATAGACAAGAAAATAACTTTTTTATTGCAATTTCCAGGAAAAGAAACCACTAACAATCAAACCCTCTGACCAACAACCTTCCCTACTAGGTCAAGAATTAATCAACAAACAACACGATCACCTACTTGCTATTAGCTAGGAAATCAATGATGAAGAGGTCTTTGTCAAGATACTTCCTCATATCAATCTCCGCTTCTAATATATTTTGTTTCTCTGTCTCTTTTTTTTAGTCTATCAAACCCTGCTGTTTTCTCTTTAGTCTCTCTAGCTTTGTCTGTCTTATTGTCTGTCTTTGACCTTCTCTCTCTCTCGCTTGCCCCCTCTCCCCTTTATCTACACTCTTATCTCTCTCCCTTTCTCTCCCACAGACACTCTCTCTTACTTGCCCCCTCTCTCTCTCTCTCTCTCTCACTTTATCTTCTCCCTTCTCTGTCTCCCCTTCTTTGTGTAATTATTCTCCCTCTC